GTGTTTACAATTTTCTTTGTTTTATCATTTAATCCTTGAGTTTCTATTTACTACTATCGGAAACAAGATTACGAAAATATCTTCTAGATTTTCATTACGTTATGTAATCTGAAGTAGCATAGAGATCGGCAATCACGATTCGCTTCATAAACATTTGCTGCGAGTCGTTGATTCACAACAGTTGGTTTAAGTGCTTTATTTAACTAGATTTATTTTTTACCTTTTGATTTTGTTTTCAGTTAAAGGCACATTATTCCTTAAAAAGTGCATTATTCCTAAAAAAGTGCTTTCATTTTTATTTCTGAAATATTGTTTTGTTTTTCGGTAATTTGTTACAGTTTCAAAATAAATAAATAAATAAATAAATAAATAAATAAACAAACAAACAAACAAACAACAAACAAAAATACTCATTTGCTTCTTTTGCTCTGTTTGCAATTTGTATAACTGCAGTGAATTAGTATTTTGTCTTGAAGTCAAAATACTACTTTTGTTATAGTTTGCTCATTTAACGACACATTATTGCATGTTTTGCCTGCTTTCTTCAGTTGTTAAACTACAAACATGCTCTAAATGTATTAATTAAACAATATCAAGCACATATTTGAGATTTCTAAGATATGGATTACAGAGGAATAACGAGCCTTTAATAGGATGAAAGCATAATAAGTCGGAATGATATATAGAAATATGAAGTATAAAACATACTAGGGCATATGCTGAAACGTACACTTAATAAACTTTGTGTGCAGTTTTGTACTGCATACAAATATGTTAGGTAAAAAAATACATGTGCTACGTAAAAATTAACATTTTCAAGGTATTTATATACTAACAACATCTTTCTCATCAATTTTAAGGGTTCATAAAAAATGTCGTATTTTTTAATATCTACTGGATAGTCAAGTGTGAAGAATTCAACCTTATTTCTTAATTAATACGAGTATTAAGACTGATACTAGGATTATTTCACCAGCTAACGATACACAATAGGTTAAACTTATCAATGAGCGAACAAAAACCTCATAGTAGCTCATTTCCTTATAGATACAATAATTAAGGTTAAGAAAAATGATCTCCGTAATAGAAATAATTAGAAAATGTTCACCTTTTACTTTCTATAATGAAAACTTATACTTGGCCTTAGTGTAATGCTAATTACAGATATCTGACGGGATATAATAACTTTTTGACGGGCTCTCTCTCATATATTTATGATAAATATAATATCATTATAAATGTTCAGTTATAACAATGATTATGCACCGATATGTAGACTATGATCCTATATGTAGAAATTAGGGGTGTGATATACAGAACACTGAAATTATTTATACATACATATGGGTTTCCTTCCAACACTTTTTATTTTTTAAAACAGAATTTGTTATTTTTATACAACAATTTTTTTATATACATGATAAATAAGTTTAAAAATAATACAAATATTTTTTTTTAAACATTATCCAAAACATTATCAGAAATATATTTCTAAAAAACATCCAGTTATGTACATGAACTGTTAAATTCGGTCGTATATTTTTAAGGAATTCGTTTTGTAACTTAAAATATTGATACTTCTTCATTTGTACAACACACTATATAATTTATCTTATAAGACCGTAAGATTTTACGTACATGTCCTTAAATTGTAGGTCATAAATAGCTAATTAGAAGCAATTTTAAAACGGGATGGTTATAACATTATATATCTAAAGCATGTTAGGAACTGACTTAAAAATAATTCATGGATAATGATAACGAATTGACCTTTTAAAGTAAATGACCTGTGTGCAGGAGTTATCTGGCAAGTTATCCTTCATGAGCACATTTGTTTTGCGCAGAGCTACGAAAGACCGGTAGGGCCATTTCATCTTTATGAGTTCCCGATATCATCTTCAAGAATTCACAATTTTAACTTCGTGAAATCACGTTTTCAATATAAGGAATTCACGAACTCACGGTTTCAGCTTCAGGAATTCCCGATTTCAACTTCACGAATTCACGATTTTAACTTTAAGAATTTATGATTTCAACTACAAGAATTCACGATTTCAACTTCATGATTTTACGATTTAAACTGCATGAAATGAAGATGAAATCAGGAATTCATGAAGATGAAATCGGGAAGTCATGAAGTTGGAATGTCCCCACCGGTCTTTCGTATGGAGCTTATTGATTATTGGCATACAGAACCTTTGTTAAAGGCGGCACAGGGAAATGAGATGATACCATCTTTTATCAGATTGTACAAATCTAAAATTATTCCTCTTTATGGGCGATACCGTTCTATCACAAATTATGTAGCAAAACTATCCGTTCACGAAATATTCGTGGCAGAGGCGGGCGTCTCTTACAGTCGAACAATAATACGGCAACCATATTTACGTACTGCACGTGCAATTAACGCCAGCGTAAGTGAGCGTAACTTTACGTTAAAACTTACGCAAATGCGTAACTAAGAAAGTTTAGTGAAACGCAAATAAATACGTAAGTTCTACTAACGAAAAAAGTTACGTTCAAACTCAAGTTACTATATCACGTTACTGCGATTATAGTGAAACGCTCGCCATTTATTATACTGTCTTAAACAGAAGAAACAGATATCTCTTGAACTGTTGATAAACAACATATTGGACCAAACATGATTAATATAGATCTTAGGAAATTAAGAATATAATGGTTAATTGTCTTAAACTGTAAATGTGTTGAAAGTTTCTGGCTTGTAACATTGTATGAGGGTTGTGCGAGACTGTGGCTATATCTAAAATAGTAATGAAAATCAATATAATAATAATAATAATAATAATAATAATAATAATAATAATAATAATAATAATAGAAAATAATAATAATAATAATAAACAGCTCTAAGAAAGACTTTGTGATGTGCCGTTCCCCACCCATTTTTATGAACTGTTGTTTAAAATAAACTGTGTGCTAATCATTAAAATCTCATAAAGATAACTTTTAATTCATGTGTAACTAAACTGTTAGATTAATTCATTTTTCTGTATCCAGAGAAGAACATATTAAGTTGTAAACATTGTATCAATAGGGCACACGTAAGTTGCAATCGCAACTTTTCGGCCTTTTCTGTAAGTCTTCGGATAAAGACCTCGAACACAATAGTATGAATGCACAGAACGAATACGGTATTTCGGTCTAACCTACACTAAAAACCTAAACATGTAAACAAATATTAATTTAATGCTACGAGTTGTTGACAAGTTTATTTTTGATATATCAAGCAAAAGTCCACCTAAAATATATGTAATTGAATTCATAGATACAAAAGCAAACAATACATTTGCATTATTTATGTATTTATTATTATGGTGGTAGAAACCGAAAGTACAAAAAGCCAACGTGTTGACATTTAGCCGGATTTGTTTAAAATTGTACATCAGTGAGCATATTTGAATAAAAAAATTGTTGCCATTTTTCTATCATATGTGTACCGAAACAGACACTACATTTCCATTGGATGTCAAATAAATTCATTCGATTTACATAATCGAAGATTACACTCTCATCTACTTTCAATCAAAATTCAAGTTTTTTCAAGTTTCAAGTTCTTTTTTTTCAACTAGGCCCATATGTGCATCAGTGTTTTCACAAACAAATGAGCATTAACAACAAAATAATACAAATGTGTAAAAACAGCTTGTAGACAAGCTAATTTGCATGATAAATACGAAAATAAGACTAGAGATACTTTATGTATGACTTATAGAGATAAGAGACTAGATAGGGATAAAATACTAGTAACATAATGCAACAGCAACATGAAAATTCCTGACCAAAAACACAACTGAAGTGACAAGGTACCATGGTGTAACCACAACATGGGGCCCATGAAACCCCATATTGTAACCACGCCATGCCCGTATAATTAGTTCCATCGACATTTAAGTGCTTACTTTGCAGTACTTTTTTCATGAGTAGTCTATATCAGATATGCCTGTTAGGAGCATACAGTGTTGGGCCCTATGAGTAGTTTGGTTTTTACTTATGCATAAACTTTACAGATAACCCTAGTAACATAAGAAAGTGGCTATAACTGTAAATATGATTGAGCTATGATGATAATAATGATAATGATGTTGTTGCTGTTGTTGTTGTTGTCGGCGGTGATAATAATGATGATGATGTTGTTATTGTTGTTGTTTTTGATGATGATGATGATGATGATGATGATGATAATGCTGCTGCTCCTGCTGCTGATGATGATGAAGATGATGATGATGAAGATGATGATGATGATGATGATGATGATGATAATGATGATGTTGATGATGATAACGACGATGAAAGAAGAAAAAGATGACGATGATTGTAGATTTTATGGCCAAGGTTATTATGTTTTGAATAATATTTTAGTTCAATTTTTATATTATAGCACCTGTACATACATGTACACACTACAAATGTATTTTAATTGACCCAATATCAGCCATGTTTACATATAAATACATTTTTTCATAGTAAAGAGACTTTACTATTGAAAACGTGTCAGAGTTAAATCAATAAATTAAAATTGCACAGTGGAGTACAAACTGGAGTACAGGTATTAGTTACCCGCACTCATTGTCTGTCTAGAGCATGCTCGTTGATTGGCTCATTAATTTTGAAGTTTACTTATTGCGACGACAGAGCGAGAGATAACGAAAGAAAAGTCATATTCAGATGCTCGTATATTGATCAGACTTTTCTGGAGTTTAATATTATGACGACAGGGAACGTGTTTTCATTTTTCCTCGAACAAATCAGATAGCCTCGTGCTTCGATGCTCTTTCTATTACTAAAAAACCCGCCAACGAACTCGTGTGTTCATACCGTATATTTGTTACAAAAACTCCATTATAATGACGACGTGATAACAAAGATCTTTACAGCAATGTATCTTTTATATTTGATGTAACGGAATAAATAGTAGCATATCAATATTAGGGACACTTTATTCCATTGGTTATAAAAAAAATAAAAAAATAACTCACATGAATATCTCTGATCCTTTCATCAAGTCTTTTCATTTCGGCCACCACTTTATTATACTCTTCTTCAGTTCGCAGTATTCTATCATCTTTCGACACAAATTGCGATGGTAACACTTTTGATGACGAAACATTTGTATCACTTCCAACGATGCTTTTAGAAAGCTGTTTTGAATCACCATTTCTTCTGCCATGACAACATCTATATACCGAATTTGTAGGCAAGGTAGGCGGGTATCTTACATTACGGTGACTTGCCGCACGAAGTAGGTATCGAACCTGAGTCCGTGATGCCGCCTGAAAAACAATATTTTAAAAAATACTATATTTTTTATAGATTTCCTTCTATTGTGCTTTCCTCGATGGGCAATTCGATCAGCAGACTTAAGCCGGTGCTAGGGGGTGCGTGAACGGTAATTTGCACTACCCAATACCGTCCATGAACAGGCTCAATCAAACCGAGCCTGCAACATTTTAAATTTTCAATTTTGTCGTTTCGTACGTTCTTTATGTATACTTTATTTCTCTCTATTTTTTAAAAAAAACTTTATGTGTTATTTATTTGAACAACTGTTTTACATACAACAAACCGTTTTATAAAATTGTACTTTAAATGTGAATTGGTCTATAATGGAAGATCTGTTATACCATGAATAATTACTGCAAAATAATCATACATTGAAGTGCTTGGCAAGTGTGAGACGCATGATTCGATATTTCATATATTCATATAGCAAATAATAGAATATTCTAGAACAAAATATTATTACTAGTATTCATCATATTGTAGACATACCAGAACGAATCAAACATCAACACTAGTGTAACGCATTTTCCTAGAACCATAGATACATTATAATCAAGCTATATATCAGTTGCAAAAGATGTTGTTTGAATTCAAATAATAAATAGAAATAAATAAGAAAGAAAAAAATACTTCAAAAATACTAGTATGGGATCTATGTAGTAGCAACTTGAATGAAAAGTGAATTACTAATGAACGAAGTCATTGCTAAATGGATAAAAATCAACTTAATATTGCAGGTTCCGAATATTGTTGAATTCTGTTTACATACACTATTTATGTGTGTTGAATAACACAGACATTCTATGTTACAACTCTTAAGAAGAAACATTATGGAAACAATGTAAATGTGTTGTTGATAAATTAAAAAAATAGATTTTTATGTTAAAGCTTTTTATCCTTCAAGAATGAATACTTTAAATTAAAAGAATAGCAACAAAATGTTGACATTTTCATTAATTAAAATTGACAATATGCCGATCCAAGGATGCAAAGATGTTGAAAAAGCGAAAGTAAAAAACAAAACTAAAAAGTTTCCTTTCAATTTTATAATTTACTTCGCGAGAATGATAAAAAACTTTCGTGGCCCAATAAAATTTAAGTAAATATCTATTGGAGTTTGCCTGTAACGTTCAATTCATTAAAGTATGGGGCAGTCTTTTTATATTTTAGGCTTATTTATTTTTTATCCTTAACATTTTCCAATCTTAACTGTTAGTCAATCACCATTTTTACAGTCAATCTTTAACAATTTATAGTCGGCTCAGCTAAAACTGACAATGAAATTGGCATGAGCATAATGTTGCGTTTACAATAATTGTTGTATTATGTAATATTTGATTACTTAGAAAAATCATTAATATATTTGCTACGTGAATCGAAAAATCATTTTCAAACATACTGTATCTTACTTGAGATTTAAATCATGATCTAAATTTTTCAACAGTTGACTTTCCAGGATGCGGCTCTTGGATTTTTCAAGCAATATAACCACTCGCCATTGTTTAAGCTCTTGAAATATGTGTAGAAACTGAACACATATATATTATAGATTATATAGATATCATTTACATATGCTATGATTTTTAAAAATAATAGTGTGAAGATATATACATGTACATGTATAATATAAATGTATAAAAAACGATAACTTTACGATACTTCGATTATGCATAAATAGACTTCCGTTTTAAACTATCCTGTAACAGAGATAATTGGCCAAATTTTCTTTTATATTTTCATCACATGAGTGGTTCAAAGTGAAGGATTTTAACATACCTTTTGATAACATACACTTGTTTCATAGTTGCTATTTCATTTCATAGATATCAATTATTTCATACGGATGATTTGAAATATTAAAGTGATATAATGCTCATTTTTTCACTGTCAAGTAGAGCTGAATTCACATATTTTTAAAGATTGGCTGTTATTAAAAACAATCAAATTTAAACAAATTTAAAACATTATTATCTTGCACCCAGAGTAGCATTTTTAACAAAACCTCAAGATTTATATATTTAGCTAATGTTTAAAGTGTTAAAAGCCATATGTAATGATCTTATTGCATTTGTATCATTTTTAATGAGTTAAATTTATTATTATAGCTTATTAACTAATTCCTGTATTGTGCTGATACTGAGAAATAATCTAAATGAATTGTATATGACTAATATCATTTATTTCCGTATCAGTTATTAAATGCATGTACATGTATTGTCTACAACTGTAACTTTGTAATAAAATACTTTTCTCAATTGTATATTCAATCCGCCATACAGTAGTGTATTGGCAATGAACATTGTACATGATGCCAAATAAAATATTGAAATTGTTATAATGGTGAATGACCCACAGTTTATATTGGAAACTGTTTGGAATAGAATATAAATCTGGCTTTTAATTAAAATGATTGCCCCACTATTTTTTATAAACTGAACATTAGCAGTAAATTCCGATGGATAATTACAGCAATGTCCCTGGCCCACGTGAGCTATTTATCTTTCGCGCGGAGTGCTTTATAAGATTGAAAGGAATAATGTTAAAATGTAAACTTATTTTGACTTTCATCTGGTCACTTACTTTATACCCTTGAATGGGCACAATACTTTAACAATAGTTCTGTTCACTATTTTCATAACAGTTATTTATCACCAATAGAAAAAGTAGGGGTAAATCTATGACTATTTTGGTAAGCAACATTTGTCTATTTTAAACAATTTCATAACATCATGTACAAATAAAAATAATCACAATAAATTCATGAACAAATTTGATTGGGTTTATAAATGTCTTCCCCTATAAGTCTACATTTATTCCAACGTCAGTACTTTCAAATCTTTTCAGCTAAAATTACCTATGAACAAAAAAAAAAAACAAAAAAAAAACAGTGACACAAGTTTGCATATAAAAGTTTTTAAATAAAATAAAAGTTAAACACTCATACTTAACTCAAGATAAAATTGTATTAATAAAATGTAAATATCAGCATTAAAAACATTATCAATACAATATCTTATAATAAAATAAGCTTTAGACAAGTTTGGCGACGTGCTTGTCTAGTATGTGTGTTTCGATGAAATTATTTTTTTACTGTACTTATTCTCAAGTATTGAATTATGCTTCTTCAATATGTTCAATCATAAAAAGATGCGTCATTTCTCTTCCCAAATCAAACGGCAAACATTTAAACTATATTTTATGCTACATTTTTTGTTTGTATGACAGATCAAATGTCTAAAAAAAAATCCGTTTTTATCAGATCGATTTAAAAATGAATAATGTATGAATTTGACAATATTCTCACTTAATATTTTCTTCCATATCTAAGGTTACACAGATTAAGTCTAAAGAGGGATATTTCTTTCAGGGGTCTTTTTATCTTTTACTGTGATATTTATGAAATTAATCTCAAGTATTATACAGTATGTTTAAAAATGATTTTGATTCACCTGACAAAATATTTAAGATTAAACATTATCAAAGTTAAAACATTGAAATGAAATTGAATTGTCTTAACACCAGGTATCGATTTTTTCCATCATTTATTTATTTATCTATCTATTTATTTATTTATTTATCTATTTATTTATTTATTCAATTATTTATTCATATAAACTTAACGCAAACTATAGTATATTAATATTCCATTTTATCGTTAGAAAAGTGTAAGACTATTTTTTCATTATATAATTATTTCATTTTATTGTGTATATTTAATCATAATTATATAAACGACAAACCTTAAAGAATTTATCCATTTCTAACGTTTACAGTCATAACTTCTCTTTTCCTAAACTTTCTGCTTCCTTTTATAGGTAGAAGCCGAACATGCATTGTTGACAAAAGAAAAAAACCAACAAAAAACAATTAAAACAAAAATGGAAATTACCTCATACTTTTCAAACAATTTGATTCGTTTTTTTTAAACAATTACCCTTCCCGACAACCTGATAACATTGACATATGTTCGATATCTTTATTAAAGTAGGTTTAACATTTATTGTGACCATAAATAGAGGATATTGAATGAAGTTCAATACTGAATTTATTGCACGAGTTGAATAAAATTATATTATGCGAGCCTCTGGCTCTCATAAGATTATTCTATTCAAAGAGTTCAATAAATTCAGTAATGACCTTACACGGATTTAATATTCTTTTTATCACACACCCAAAATAAAGACCGTTTAAAAAGTGAAATAAGAGTCATTTGTCATTGACGAACCTATTGTATAGCGCGTCTTTACAACGGTAATGACGTCAGGTCAAAATATATGCACTGCCGTGCAATACCATTTTTACGGAGTCGCAAAATCGGCAGGGGAGTGTACAATTAATACACGTACATGATGAAACAGAATACATTTAGCTAGCTTTTAATGAACTCATACCAGAAATTAATATAATGGTTCACATTAGAATAAAGTCATTAAAAAAGTAATCGGATTAATGAAAGCCTTACAACACATCGCATCGATACATTTAGACTTCCTTAGCTTAGTATTAAAACAAAAAAGAAGAATTTTATCTTTCACAAATATATCACTAGATTAAAACAAACACGATGGTTATGGAAGACAATAGCTACAATTTCTTCATTTACATCAAACTTGTTACCTTCATAAGGTATATTGTGCTACCTTAAACTGATATTCGCTTTTCAAAGCCACAGCCCCTTAGCAGTGGGTGTCTATAAAGAAAAGTAGATTTATCATTCGTTAAAGGATGCTAATATAATAATATACTACGTCCATCAAAACGTAACAATAAACCAGAATACTAATTCGGTTTCGACATTTAATTGGAGACATTTGTTGTTGTTGCACCATAAATGTGCTAACATAAAAGCGAACGATGCAGATCCGATATAATCGAACATGTTTATGAACAGAAAAGTCACAACTCATTCCATAATGAAACATTGGTTTAAAATTTGTATATAAGTTTTGCAAAAAGCTAATAAAATTGCTTAATTAAAATAACTACATTTGTTTTCAACCTATCATTTTTATAATAAACACGGGTATACGTTTTCATATGTTTATATGTTTAACGCTTTAATTGCTTATCTAAATGCTTTAATCTACATTAACCGACAAAGATGCACTCGGAGGTCTCTATCGCATGAAGTGCAAATCATATTGTCTGGCAGGATGCCGAGAGCATTGCACTGTTACCCGGAGAGCCACGGGCCCGTATCTAGCAGATTATTTTATTACATCGAGATAAGTACATATTAAATTAAAAGCTGACCTCAGCTACCAAAAATGTAAGCTTGTTTTTATAAATGTTCAAAGTCATCAGACGCACCTAGATGAAATTTTAATTCTTGAATAAATAAACTTAATTTAAATATCTGTTTTTTATTATATTAATTGGACAATAACTTCATATTATCATATCAAAACAAAATATTATAGATATGATTTCAAATTATACAACAAATGTATCAGTTATTACGTTTTTTATCATCATTATTATTAATGTTTTGATATATTTAACAACCTTGATATCGTCACCTTAGTGCAATAACTTGGTTACTCCTATTAAATTCAGAGGGACTTAACCTGTTACAGCGCTAAAGTGACGAATTATGTGGTATAATATGCGTTGTACAGAATCGAATTTTTAACCAATGTTTTTCAAAGCTATAAATAGACCATAACGTGATAATGAAGCTAAATTCTAAATTTGGAACTCTGTAAAATGTTTATAAAATTAATACTTATCAGTTGAACTTTCAACTTCGTAATATTTATTAACTAATGTTATACCAGCTATATAGTTAATTGAGTACGTGTATTATCATTAAGCAATGTCGTCCGTGTCCGGGTGGTTAAGGTCGTTAACTTCAGGTCCCATAGCTCTTAGTGCACTCGGTTCGAATCTCAACAGGAACCTAGAAATATTTCATGCGAAGAAACTATCCGGCTAGCTTACAGATCGTCGATGGTTCTTTTCAGGTGCGTTCTCCTGCGTGTCGGAAAGACGGGCACTTATGGACTTCCTCCGCTAGAAAAGCTGAAAAGATCAAGAGAATGTCTGTATCACTTAAAACACAAAAAGAAAGAAGGGTTTCGTGGCTATCCCGGCATTTGTGATCAACTGTATTTTTGCTAACTTTTCTTTTACCTGTGATATCAAAATAATCATGACCACGCAAGTAATATTTTAAACCTTTCCTAAGTGTTATGTTTTACTTGTTAATATTTAACACATATGCTGTAACTATTTTTTAAAAGAATGAAATTACATTTATTTGCTGATATTTTTACATGGCATACGATAGTAATGTATGTGAAAGTACTCAATTTATGTAAAACTTTCTATGTAATTAATTGTAATGTTCTTATGTAAACTTTTTTCACAAAATCATTTTATTTTTCATGAAGACATTGAGCCTTTGGTTACATGGCAGGTTTGTTGAAACTTGAGTACAGCTCAAGTCGGTGCTAGGCGACGGGAGACGTGTTACCGTATTTCATTAACTCTGTGCAGAATCAATCTAACCGAGTCTGCAGGATTTATGTAAATTTGTTGTGATAAATGCTTCCGAGAGATCACCCTTTTCCCAGATTATTTTAACGTCTCAACCTTATTTTGTGTGTGCATCTTTACAGGGAAAGAAACACTTCGACAAAAAATTCCAATATCATCATATACGTACTTATATCATCATACTAAGACACATACACATGGACTGCGTTTCACAAAAGTCTTAATTTATTAAGATTGGTGGCGGCTGTAAAAAGTCTCCCCGTACATTAAATCAAAGATATTATATTTTCGATCCTTGAAGAATGTCTAGCACGACATTGTTGTTGTATATATATGTTATGCAATAATTTTAGTTTCTTCTATATGGCCTACTTCAACTTGGGTGGTTCCAGTATTCTTACTTGAATACTGTATAATCACCCTTAGGATATGTTGCCTGCTTTTTAAATTTGTCTTTTGACGTCTTCTCTGTGATATGCAGGCTTCATAGCCTCAGATCCCCTCTCCAAATTCCATTTTATTTAGTTCCGCCCATTGTTTTCTCGTTTAGGAGACACACATTCTTTAACTTGGGGACCATATCATGGAATGGTACTACTGTGTCACATTGAAGGTTCGATGATAACCGTCGTATGTTTCTAAATTTGAAATTTCACCATTTTCGTGTTTAAAAGTTGAATTCTGCTTAAGCCGGTGCTAGGAGGTATGGACGGTAGCTTGCCTTTTCCATTACCGTCCATGAACAAGCTCAATCAAACCGAGCCTGCAACATTCTCAATTTTGCCGTGTTTGGCTTTCTTTAGGGATTCTGTTTTTCCCTATTTTTTAAGTGAATCCCAGTCCTCGGACAGAAAACTTTAGGACTTATTTAAGCCAATTTCAATCAATGTTTTTTACCTTCAGTCAAATACTAGTACTGTAGACTATACTTATATGCATGTATAATTCACTTCATTTTCTCAAACAAATTAAGAAATTCAATAACATACCATTTTTTTCTTAATATGTTATTGGTCACCTGTATTGCTATTCAGAATAAAAAAAGTTATAAAATAAGAGTGAAAAGTTAAGACGTTTTCTTTGGAACGCAAAATTGTCTTACTTCAGACTTTGTATAACATGCAGCTCTGTTTTATCTTCGCATAACTGTTACACAATGACCATTTGACGATGCATAATACTCTTTTGTACCATATATGATTAATTGTTTATTGATTGCACCAGCATACTTTTTCGATTTTGTTTTGTTATTATTATTTATTTGCTTTCTTGCCCTATGTAAGCTGTGGAAATCGGCATCAAAAAGGTAAGGATATTAAGATAAATCTCTCTCTTATTTGGTCATATGCTAATGGTGGCCCCGACAGTTTAGTCTGGCATTAATGCCGTCATATTCTTTAGTTTACTCGGTAAACATATTTATTTCCCGAATATATACAATATTAATACATAATACAATTATAATACAAGTCAAAGGAAAGGATAAAAATGAAAAGATATAGTCATATAAAGAGTCTGTGCCATGTTCTGTGGATGGAGATTTGTGCACATTTAAATCATATTCGAAGCATTTTGTACATACATACTCGAATATTTTAACAAAACAGCATTAGCTTCAAGTGCTGTGTAGCAGCTGTAAAATGTTGCCCCGCACTTCACTTCAGTGTCGTTATATTTTTTTCTGGTCCTTCGGGATCATTGATGCAATCACCAATAAGTGTTGAGAATTGAGTACCGCTCAAGGCGGTGCTAGGGGGCGTGAGGGTTGTTGCACGTATTCATTATCACTCATGTACACACTCAAGAAAACCGAGTCTACAATTTTCATGATATTTTGTTGTGATTAATGCTTCCGAGGGATCACTTTGTTTCCAGATTTTTAGATTGAAAGAAAACAAACAAAACTTAATATAATAAATTTAATATGATATCAATTAATATAACAGGTGTCTTTACAAACATATATTATTTGTTATAAGCTGAAAAAAAGTTTTCTTATGAAATATTCGTTACTGAAGGCAAGTACATGTACTTCTTATTATATAATATATCTTATTAATCATAAGAAAGGAAATAACGATATAAAAGTTAAAAGCTTATTCTTTCAAAGTGTGAACCAACCATTTTCATCAAGTATAACAATATTCAAAGTTTCAAATGTTCTTTTAAACGGCAAGCATTCTGTCTTTCCTAAAAAGCAGATATCTATATATATTAGCGGAATTAACATCAATCTGTTTCATTGATAATATAAATATGCTTAGCCTCTCTATAGTTATATTATATGCAAACATAATTTTTAGTTTCCAGATAACTTTTCAATCTTTCGAAGCATTTTATGTCTATCTACAATGTAGTTACAAAATGTTCTTGAAAATCTTGAAAAAAGCACATACATAATTATGTTCTCATCTCAACATATTCCTGACCCCTGACTTACGTAAATAATTGAGCAGAAATTAATGTGTTAATCATATCTGGTATAATTCTAATAAAACTCCAAAATATACTCGTATTTCTGTCATAAAGACACCACTCAGTCTGTTTTCTTTTCATTCTTCCTTTTTCATAAAATGTATCTTTTTCTAGTAGCAAATGCATATCGACACATAAGTGCATTAATTTGTAAACTCTTATTGTTTCAAAAGCAGGAGAAACTCCGTTAATGCACTAATGTGACGATAAATTAAGTTCAAGCAGAAAGAATTTCAGAAAATGTCTTAAACAATGATCAATTTAAAAAAACACATCAGGAAATTATGATATTGCTAAGAAATGGATTTGCATACAGTATTATTTGTCATAAATTTAATAGTGTGACGGACTATACATACACAGTTCATCACAGTTTTTTTTCAAGTAACAAACAACAACAATAATTGAACACTTATTTTGTACAGTAATATCAACAGCATCCCGATCAGTTTAACTAAATTCTATAATCTATACATAATTAGTGCATAACTTTATTATTTTAAGAAGCCATAAAAATATAAACAAAAAATATACATAATAAAAACTCTCCTCATACGTGAAGAAGTATCTAATATAGTTTTGTGAATGAAATGTTTGAACAAGTACGGTTTCCAGTTACTACTAATTGTTCTTATTGATAAATTAATTGCATATGGATAATCATATTATAATTGATCAAGATGCATTTTACAATGCTGTTAAAAAAATATTCATCAAAATTGGAAATCGCATTCCGGTTTTTTTCAATCTTTTAAAATCGTAATTTGTTTAATATATCCAAAGAGTGTTCTAAAGATTCACATTTATTTTGAAAATCATTTTGAATTATGAACCATTTCAACTTATTTGGCACCAATATATCAAAAAGTAATTGTATTATCCCCCCTTTTTTAAAGGTAACTCTTGTCCTTTTTGTACTTCTATACTCTCTATTTCATAAATGTAAAGGAAAGCAATTGCATTGTTGACATCAATAGAAAACGAAGTTTATATACATATGGTTACCCTGTAATTTATTTACAAATATAACAGTTAATATAAATAATAACATCAATAAAATAAACATCAGTGGTTTGATACACTTCTAGTTCAAGCGAAATTATGCCAATTTTTTCATGGGCAATTTGAGCTGAATTGACTATATCTTTCAAAAGATTGTTATAATATTAATTGACCAACAGTTGATGTTGGAAAATGTTTAGGCTAACATATATATCTGATGATTGTCTCTCTCTTTTTTATAATCTGAACGTTACCGGTAAATTCCAATATATATTTACAGAAATTATCTAGGGACACATGTGTAAGTTATCGTTCATACGAAGTAAACTGTAACATCTTATTTTGACTTTCATCTGTCCACCCGCTATATACCCTTGGATGGGCATAAAATCACTTAAAGTAAGTTTTCGAAATAAATACATGAAGATCACAATTCCATGTACTCGATATGTACAGCACTGGCACTAAATGTTTCAGTCACCCAGATGAAAATCATCGATTTTATACCGTTTTGTTCAGTCAAGACTAGATCACACATAATAAAATCGTTCACAGATGCAACCAAAACGATATTTTCTCTTTCTTGCCAATCATATTCATAATCAGTATTGAGCAATGAATAAGATCACATGCATTCATATTGCAAAACAGAAAAACCACATGTTCATCTCAAACACTGACCTGCAGCAGATAAAATGACGTCTTCTTATAATTCAGTCTAAAAATTGGAAAAATACAACGGTTTGTTATCAACTACTTTCATTCACAATGAAAACGTCATCCGGCGCAGGCACGCTTCTACTCCCTGCCTCTCGGAAATTTGTACCTATATATTCATGATTGTTGCTGAAGGTAACCGAAGCTGCCCGAGATGTCGAACCTGCCTCAGACGGGTCAGAAATATCTGACTCCGATTCTATAGAGTTTGCACGTGCATCTTCCTCGCTAATTCTTGGCGTTATTGAAGAATGAGGTCTATTAAATTCAGGGGCCTTTGGAATTTGCAACAATGGTTCTGACCTTCTCGACAGGTTATTTGTACTCATGTCTGACTTGTGACGCATTTGCACAGTATTATCATAAACATCCACTGGAATGTTTGTTTGATTGACTCTCTTCTTTGGGTTGATTATAATTTCGTCTTCCTCATCATCGGCAATTATATTAAGCTGTGAAGCACCAGCAAAACTTGCTCGTTTCGGTAAACTCCGGACTTTGACTTCATCTTGAGTCACCGTCTCAAAGGAACTGGCCCTGCTTAATCTATTTCTCCATGGAAGTGAACTGCGCTTGTCTTCTTCACCAATAGTGTTTAGACTGGTTCTAGATTGTGTCAGCACGTCCCTTACAAGATGGAGCCAAGAATCCACTTTATTCATAGAGTTGTCTCCCCCGTTTCGATTGCTGCGGGAAATCTTCTGCCATTTTGTTTCAATGGCTTCAGCTTTTTTCAGAACCTTATCTTTATCATGCTGGATAGAATTAATGGCTCGCATTGCCCTCTTACTCTTTCGTTTGTTACCACTACTTCCTTGTCTTCTTGCAAGCCTCCCTGTAAACATATTCAATTAAATTAATTATTTAGTGCATTCTGTAGTTTGTTTTAATAATGTCATTTTACAATATTGAGAAAACAATGACTGACACTTTTTTCTTTTATTTTAAAAGTAAGCCACATTAATGGGAGGAAATGTTAGAAGTTTTGATTGGGTGAATATCTACTAGGAAGACCAACTTGTTAAACAATGTTACACCATTTTAAAATTTCGCTTAAAACTTACCAAATTCTTTTGCTTTTGCAAAGAAAGACATGCCAATAAAAAAAGCATATTCGATAGTTTAAATCAATGCACTTAGTCAATGAACATAAAATGAATTTAAAAAAAATTGACGTTTGTTAATAATATATTTTTAGCAGATTCTGTCTTATTTGCGTACGTTTTAATCATTGTGCTGAAAATATTCAATGTTGAAAACGTCTACTTACCATGGCTATGAGAACTGCTTTCACTGACTCTCTCTTTCCGTAAGTCGTTGGCAAGGTCCATAAAATTCTTCATAAACTTACTGCCAAGATTACCACCAGCTGGGACTTCACCTTGATGCTGTTGCTGCTGCCGCTTACGTTTTGTTATCCTTATCACAGTTTTTCGTCTCTTCATCTTTGGTGAGTCGTCCTTTGAAAAATAATTGTTATCATTAGCAATACATTCTCATTGTAAACTGTGCGTTTGTATATTGATATTATGTCACTGGTCACTTATGTTTATGCAAATCAGCTCTTTCATGAAATCTGTTTAGTCGAGGCAAATTCTGTAAATTACGAGTATGTCGATATTTTCGATCCTACTTTTTAGTTGATAAAGTTCCTCCATTTTCAGGAGATTCTTTTACACTTCTAGTAAGGCGTTTGCATAACTAATTAAAGTAGAGTAGATCGTTTCGCATATGTAAAGCATGAGACTATCAAATTATCTGTAAATATGTCGGAAAAAACTTGTTACTCATGTATCCCATGAATCTATTCAAAGTATGCATTCGAAATCACCTTAAATCGTCCAAGAAAAGGTTAGATTATGTGTGTAATTAACGGCAAGTACCTGCGTTATACTGCTATCTTCATCAACATCACTACTGGCTGTGGTAGTTACAGACATTTTATCATCTTCGTCATCCATTTGTTGCATCTCTTTTACAAGAGCTATTTTACCTGTTACGTTAGAATAAATATCTTAAATATGGACAACTTTACAAAATGACTTGTATATGACGCTTTTGTACATAAATGACGGGAGTGTACAGCTTCCATGTTAAGCATCAACATACCTTGCAGTTTTGTTTTTTTGTATTTGTTTTCTTATGCGTTTATCGATGATTGAGAAGGAGATAATATTGATGAGAAATATTGATAGAGTTTGAATTAATCTTCTTAAAATAAGATGCAATACTTAATGTGTATAAATTATGTCTCCAGATTTATCATTAATCTCCCCTATAAATTGAATTTTAAAACAAGTTGGTGGTTTACTTTGTCACTTTCGAATCTTCTCGATAAATACATTAAAATAATGAGTTTCATGTTAAAATGTCAAATGTAGTTAAAGTACTAACTTGCTATGTCCATGGAATTTATTTCACTTGTATTTGGTTTCATACAGTTAATTTCTGTAGAACTGATAATATGTAGAGCCGTTCCCAGACGATGGAAGAACATTGACACAAATTGTATCACCAAAACTATCCCATAGAAGAACATGAAGAGCAGGGAGATGGGTTCTAATGTCAACTGGCGACCGTTTGTAGCTTTGCATGGCAGCGGTATGCTCAGACCGTGTCCTTCTTTTACTGCGTTTGTATACTGAAATAATTCATATATATAATAAATGAATGTGTATCAAGAATGATTTTCTTTTCAGAGTAAGTTATAAAAATGAAAGAAAATGCATTCGTTGTTTTAAATTTTGCAAAAGATTCAATATTTCACAATGTATAAGTGTAAGAGTTAAAAGACTCAGTCAAACCGAGTCTGCAATTTTCAAGTAATTTCGTTGTGATTAATGCTTCCGAAGGAATCACTTTGTTTCCAGATTTTTATATGCCTCAATTTCAGTTTATGTGAAGACATGGTTTGTTTAAATCTAGTTTTGACTCTAGCAGTATAAACTTTTGTATAATATTCAGTAATTGTTTTACAAATGAATATAAAAATTAAAAATGGCTATTTTTAAACATGCAAATATGTTAACTAAAACATACAAATGTACTTTTGATATGAAAGGAAATGTACATAACTGTAAGAAGTATCAAGTCGGACATATATACTGGTCGGATTTAAAAAAAGAGTGAAACTTAAAAGTAGTGTTGGGGCACCAAAGTATATACTGTATTACGGTATATACTGAACAAGGCGCGCGCTTAAATGATTAAATGCTAAAAATCTCCACTTTTCATTTCCCGAAATGCAGTTGAAGACTTCTTACACATCTCTTCACACCAATATATATACAATCTGAATGAAAGATGTAAGAATCGGAGAAAAAAGCGACAATTTTGTACTTTGTTATCACGATTTCGGCAAGCGCTTGGAGGTACTGCTCCAACATTGTAGTGAGTTAAATCTTTTAAAATATTGTTTCAAACACGTACCTGGAGTGTAAATATTATCACAATAAACAATCCATTCAGCATGAAAAACATTAGACTCATTTTGTTACGGAGCTCTATCAAATCGTGTTGCACTTTCTTCTGTTGTGCTTCGTTTTTCTCGAGCGGAAGCAGGTACTTCTTAATCAAATCCTTCCAGAATGTTTTCTCGTCGTTACCAATGTAACGTGTTCGGCCTTTACCGAGGTCAGCGTCATCCAACCATTTAGGTGTATTTTCATCTTCGTGTGATACCAGCGTTGGTTTGTATAATGGGTTTGTTACTGAAAATATGAAAATCAAATGTTCTTTTTAAAATGGAAAAATGAAACAATATACTAATCTTATACTTGTAAATCAGTCTTTTCATATGTTCTACGTATCTTACAAAAGTAAAATGAAGAAAAATTGCGACTTTGAGACAAACCATACAATTATTTTAAAAGCAGAAGCAACCATTATTCTATTACTATTTGTCTTGTTCATTTACATATTTTATTGCTGAAATTATTTGTAAGGTGAAAAGCTTGACTCTTTCAATTCGGGTAGTGGTATTTAAAGTGCTATTAACCTATTTACTGTACAGGAATGTTATTGAATAATTCCAATTCTATACATGATTGTATGGACAAGACTTTCCATGTGACTTCAAAATAGAAATTGAGATCCGAACTTCAACTATACCTTCATATTCGTTTCCAACAGCAATATCCTTTTCACTCTTTGAACTCTCTTTTCTTCTTCTTAGACCATCAGTGTTATCTTCTTTTATTGTTTCGAAGGTTACACTCACCCCTTCATCACCTGACACATCTTTTTCACAATAAGTTTGGACATCTAAACCATCCTGTGGACCTTTGAAACAGAAAAAAATCAATATGTAAAAGTTATTTTTTTAATAACTCGAAAGGATGTTAAGAATTTCGATAAACGAACTATTCCATAGGGCTAAAACTTATTTTATTTGATGCTTTCCGATTAAAATTCTTTACTTTCTTTTCAATCTCGTGTCAAGTATGGTCAGTTCATATTATGACCTTAGTAGAAGACTAAACAGTATATTACTCATCCATTATCTCACAATATCACAAGCTATATATTTTTGGCCCAAGCCCATCTAAAATCAGTTTGAATTCCTGTAAAACTTACAGGAAAGAACTGAATATTATTAGAATTTTCATTGGCCATTTAAAATTACAAATTGAAATCTGGGAATCTCATTGGTCATTCTAAACTAATATGTATAGTTCTTGCCATTCTAAAATAAGATATTAAGGATAGTTCTTAAATAAAATGTGTACATGATAGTTTTTGCCATTCTAAAAAATGTTAAGAATAGTTTTAGAATAAAACGTACAGGTATTCCAGTTAACTAGTTTTAGTTCGATCGAGTATCTTACTTAAAGATATTTCAAGTTATCAAATAAAGATATTATACAAATATGGATTTTTAAGCTAGTGAATATGATGCCATTTCAAAGCTAGATTATATCATAAAAGATTATATATCATTAATATCTCGTTAACACAATATGTATTTACCAGTCACTGCTCGTTCGATCGTCTCTAATTTTTCAAGAACCATTTCAAACTTCTTCTCGTTGACGTCTTGTTTGGGTTTTGGACAACATATACAACGGAACAGGTTCCCGAAAGAAAATCCATAATCGCTATCTAGCTCTTCATCTCTGGTGAACTTCTGGAGGAGTGACTGAAGGAGAAGAGAACATTTGGTTACATTCTCTGATATTTCTCTCTAAAGAACTTACAGTTATAATTGCCCTTATGTTTCAACATCAGACGATAAAGTAAATGTAAAGCATTGTATAAGACAATATGCCTATAAAATTATACTAAGAATAAGTACGAATTTTCAATATCAATTTAAGAATGCTAAATTTTATGCAGATATTCGATATTATTATGCTAGACATGTTTAAATTTTCGATACTGGTTCAAATACTTAATTTCTTGCAGCTTACTGGAAAAAAATCTGTCATTTGTGTCTTAACCTTTCAAAATTTAAATTTTTATATAAAACTTTCGGTAAAATTTTCGTAAATAAATGCTTCCGGAAATAAAAACATGGCCGTTGAAACTTGGGACATATAACTTCAAAAATCGTTGTAACCATTATCATATAGTGACGATACGATCTGACAATATCTAACCTGTATTTTACTATCCGGTTTCTTGGCAGCTGGTGCTGGTTTCTCGTTCGGGTTTGCGGCTGTTGCAGACTCTCTGGTTCCCCAGGAAACCACATGCATGTTGCAAATGGAATAAATCATCAGTAACATTGACATGCTTGGAACAGCCAGGAAGTACAGGGCGCCATGAAGTAAGCAGTAAAACTCCTATGAAAATGCATTTGTGTTTATTTATAGAACATGGAACAAAGAACAAGTGCATATATGTGTGAAAACAAGATACACAGCAGTTATCATAATAATTATCCGGATTCAGTACACACGTTTATATTGACATAAGGCTAACAGTGAAGAAAATGACGATTTGGAAAAAGAGAATATTGAATTAAATAGAAATTGTGTGATATAAAAGAAATTATGCCGGTTAAAATTAAAGCTGCGAAAAGTATATTATAATACTAATATTGCTCTTCTTTACATTAACTTTCATAGGATATTCATAATGTTTTCCTATTCTTGATAAATCAGTTCAAGACTCTTATTACTCTATTTAATATTTATTTTTCTTTCTCAAAACAAAGGGACCTCGTGGTATTATGCATTCATTATACGATTTGGAAAGGTTATATGGAAGATTATTACAGTTGTAGCCTTTGTCTAGCGACTTACACTCGTTAATACCAAGTCTAATAAATTGCACAAATCTTTATAACTTTTATAACTAACAATAAACTTGAGATCAACTGACCTGTGGATGAAGGATTGCTGAGATGATGAATACACCTAGTAAGAAGAACAAGAATATAGCAGTAGGTGAGCAGAGACCTTCTAGAATCATGTTTAGCCCAAGACCTACCACCACAATCATCATACATAGGGCATAAGCGACGGATAATATTTCTGCAAACCGTAACTGAAATGAAACAAAATCAAATGTGTTACCAAAGTGACTGTTAATATATTAGTTATTCGATTGTTGATATTTGAATTGCAACCACGTTAGCACTGACAGAGGAAGATTAAATTAGTGAAATAAAATTTAATGAGTTGCAGCTTTACGTTAGTCCAGTAACTTAAGAATTGCTAGCCGCGTGGGTTCAAATCAAGCAAGGGACAAATCGTTGTTAGCTTAAGTAAGGAATTTTACACTTCATGCTCAGTATTGGTGGGATCGAGGAACGAGTCCTATTGTGTTTCTATAAGCTACACAATCTGACTAAGGATTTCTGTATATAATGGTGGCTGATTTGTGCCATGCCGTACTTTCGCTATTGCTACTTGAGGCAAGGGAGGTAAAAATTTAAACAAATCGATAACTATCTATACCGTTACATTCTGCTGTCAACAGCAAATGGACAATTTTAATTAAGCATCTCTTTGAAGCCTCGGAGGTCATTTTATTTTTATTACTTTGTCGGTAAAATTGAAAAGAACAAATTTAGATTTCCGTTGTGAAAACATACCTGCCATTTTGAATCACAGAAGAAACAGGCAAGGAGAAATAACGCTATTGGTACAGTGTTAATCGCCAGTGACGCCATCAAATCAAGTGCCGGGAACGCTGTGTTAAGCGCCCCGGTGATCAGGAGGAAAATGGTGGCCGGAGTGAGCAGAGATGAGCAGAAAAGAAGCATCTGGTAGGCAATATATAGCAGCGAGATGTTTTCATTAAGTTTTACAACGTTTCTCCAGTCACCTACAAGAAAAGACACAAGAAAGTTAGAAATTTTAAAAAATAAATGCATTTGCAATGGATATATATTATGTGCAAAATTCTATTATATTCAAATTATATCATGTAAAGGAGTGTTCATTATTCATTTAAAACTTAGATATGATGATTTCACATATAGTGTATATGCGTGTTAAGTTAAAGGTAAAGTTTTATATATTTTTTCATATTTTTTCAGGTCGATAGCGCTGGAAGGTATAAGCTTATAGAAACAATTTCAAATCCGTTTCTTGATCCAAAAACAAACTAGTGTTAAGCAATAAGTGTGAAAATATTCTGGAAACAAAGTGATCCCTCGGAAGCATTAATCACAACAAAATTACATAAGAATTGCAGACTCGGTTTGATTGAGTCTGTACATGAGAGATAATGAATAAGTGCAACATCCCTCACGCCCCCTAGCACCGGCTTGAGCGGTACTCAATTCTCAACACTTAATAATGCTGGCATCAATGATCCCGAAGGACCAGAAAATATAACAACACTGAAGTGAAGTACAGGGCAACTTTTTTACAGCTGCCACACGGCACTTGACACCTGCTGTTGTGAAGTACAAAATTCTGGAAACAAAGTGATCCCTCGGAAGCATTAATCACAACAAAATTACATAAAAATTGCAGATTCGGTTTGATTGAGTCTGTACATGAGAGATAATGAATAAGTGCAACATCCCTCACGCCCCCTAGCACCGGCTTGAGCGGTACTCAATTCTCAACACTTAATTATGCTGGCATCAATGATCCCGAAGGACCAGAAAATATAACAACATTTGCTTAACGAAACAAAGACTTGTCAAAGATAGTGTTTTACTACAAGTTAGGTTACTAGTTCGACGCGTTAACCACTCAGCTAAGCCGCCGTATCTTATCAATTGTTCATTCTCTGATGCTAGTTAGTTCAAATATGTTATTACAAATAATGGCCTTAAATTATATTACCAAGAAGATCCATTATGTTTGCCATTGTGGAAGGTGACCATCGCCGACGTTGATTATAAAACTCTTCGAAACCTTCCGGGGCATAGGTCAAAGCATCGGCAGCGGCACAGTACTCTACACGGTATCCTTGTTGTAGTAGAAGTGTACACAGCCATCTGTCCTCACCTTTATAAATCATACAGTTTTAACAATTTAAATACTGTGAAAAATAAATGGTCTATCTCTGCGTATTTAATAGGCAAATATCTCATACACAATTGTCAATATCTTTATATAAGAAATGTGTCAGTATTTAAATTCAATCAGTTAATAGTTTTTAAAATATATGTCAGTATTTTATAAAAATGAAATGATATTTAAGTTCCTCAACAACAAATAAAAAGAGCTGACAATGTCTTGTGAGAATCGGTCAATATTTTATAAAGAAATCCAAAAATAGTTGTGACTTTTCTGCCTGTCATTATATATTTTTAGAGCAAAAAGTGTAAAGTGTCAATCATAACATAAGTATCTTAATTTACTTAAGCCTTAAGGATTTCAAATATACTGGTTGATCTTTAAAAGGTACAGTTTTTGTATGTAGCTGAAATATAATTATGCTGAAGCTTTCTTATATCTACCGATGTAGTTCTATAATGGACCATTTTTATAGATTATAGAAAACATTTTTCAACCGAAATAACATTTTAATTACCTTGATCATACTGCACATAATGTTTCGCTTGCGATGACATAGTTGCATATTTTCCCATTACATTGTCGTCCATGAGTGAAGAACCGCGGAATAAACTGAAACATCCGGGACTGCAAAGTACGCAGCCAATCATGTGTTCCGTTGCTTTTTGTAACCAATGGCTGATAGCGTATTCAAATTTCTGGTACCAAATCATCGGACCTATTGAATATGCAAAAAATGTTTCATTTCATGCTCTGTAATAACAGTGTAACGCCTGTCCTCCCATTCACGATCAGCGAAAATATTATTTATAGATAAAATGGTAATTTTTTTTTCACCGGTGGATAATATACAGAAGAGAATGTCTTTAAGACAATCGTCTTTCCAAATTTCCCTTTAAAATTTCAGGCATTATTTTGTTGGTTGGTTTTTACGTCTCAAGAACACAGTAGAGGTCATATTGGCGACTTTCCACCTTTCCCGGTGGAGGAAGACCTACGTAAATTATTATTTCCGTAAGCCCGCTACATAGCTTCCTCACATGATGGGATTCAAACCTTAATTATTCGGCAACTGAGGCTTATTTATTATCAATTGATTGGTAATGAACAACAGTAACTGTCGACATGACATCATTTTACTTACCCATTCCGATTGGATGAATACGTCCACAAGCCGCGCCAACTTTATCATTCCTTTTCATTCTGTCGACAAGGACCTGTACTGCCGACGGTTTAAAGTCAACATCACCGTCAAGTGTAAGGATGAATGTATTGTCAGCAAGTGCTTGTTTTCTACGGGCATCTAAGTTCTGACCGACAAGTCTGTGGCCGAGAAGGTAGTACATGTACATAACCTACAAAAACAACAAGAAGACTGAATTAGAAATTTCAGTACCATCTGTTTTTTTATATTTAATTACTTAATTAAAGATTTTTTTCTATTGTTTTGCTTCTGTTTTGTAACCCTAAATATACTTTTCTTAATATACTAAATGAATTTAACAGACTTGAACTTTCAATCTGGACAGAACCATTTATCATTTTCGGGGAATTTCAAAAACTGTTCTGACTGAAAAGCGAAAAGTTATAGGCCGTAATACGATGAAATGGATGTGTTGGCTAATCTTGGTCACATTTTGTCGCTTGTAAAGAATCAGTTTCTACCAGCAAACTTAGGGTTAGATGACATAAAGGTTTTAAATGGTTCATACCTGGCTCCATCGTTTCTTGATTCGAATCTTTGTTTTGTCTTTCAGATGAGCGACAAGCTTGTTACCACCAAGCAAGGTCCACTCCAGTCTACCTCCATATGGGGTCGGATAACGTGTAGGCGGGGCTATTCGCATCGGTACTCGGTGAACCTTACTGTAAAAAGCATTCAAAATTGACTTCGTAATAAGTTAAAACTCGTTAAAAGATTCATATATTTATGTGTTTATTGTACTTCATATGTGAAGGAAATCTGAAGAAATTGAAATCGTAAGAAATAAATAGAAATGGTGGAGACTTCAAAATGGTTACCTAGCAGCTTTATCGATTGTTATGACGAGTTGTTTGACGAAACTGTTGACGTAATACTCGTATGTCTCCTCGTCGTGAGGCTCGTAGGCGTCGTCGAAAAACACGTGCGCTAAAATTTTAAATTTAGAAATTTGATTTCATATGATTGATATATATGACCATTAAAAAACATTGAAAATGCATGTATTTCACAAAGCAGAGTATATCTTTAATAGAAATGTTACATGGATATTTAAAATATATGTAATAATAAATTTACTATAAGCAGCCATTATAGTTTATATTTATATTAAAAGTTAATGTACATGTTAAAAGTAATCATTGTTGCAAAAAAATTTTTTGTTAAGGGCTTAATCTAATGTTGCTAGAACTTGTTGCCCAACACATTTACTTTTTGATATATACTTGTCATATGTATAATATTTGACATGTATTTGATGCAATAAAATATGTTTAAACTAAAAAGCCACTTTGGCGCACTAATAGCATCAGGTCACTTATTTAAATGTTGAATGTGATATTGATAACTTTTAGAAAGAAATCTGATCTCGGATTAAGCATATAGGGACTGAAACGGAAAGTTTGTTATATTACAGATTTTTTATTTACCCTCAAATTCGTAGTAATCTGGATCTACCACATCGAAAAATCTCTGAGCGTTCTTTCTGGCACACTGATCGTCATCCATTCTGATTACGAAATAAAAATTAAACATAAATAAAATATAGACTTATTTAAATAAAAATATAGACTTTTCGATGTTGTTTATTTGTTTGAAATTTATTCAGCTATTAAAAATGGTACACAACATGTATAAAAACGAACATAGTACAAGCCAATCTTGCAAAGTAGGCCTTATTTTACAAAATAATTGTTTATAAGTTATCGTAAGCAAATTAAAAAGTTCCAAAAAAAGCTCGTCAATCAGAAACTTCTACTCTTTTCAAAGTACACTTTACACGGTTTTAATTTTATTACTAAAATCGCGCAATTTGTCTAGGCTTTTGTGATTTTCATTAAAACTAATACCTGAAAATAGACGTCAGCATTTGTAACATTTCTTTTTCAGTCTCGTGCCACATTGTTGCACATACATAAATCATCGGAGCTGGTTCCCGCCTCTCCGGGTCACGTGGGGTCATCGGTAGGTGGGTGGGGTACGGACCATTCAACTTCGCAAATTCCGCAGCTTTGCGTTTCTAGAAAATTTCGATTGATTATTTACATAATGATAGATACATTCATCATCGTAGAAACCAAATGGTGTCGTTATGAACAACAGAAAAAGCAGAAAGTTCCCGCAGAAAAAACGGAATATCAAAAACTTTCTTGGCATACGAATTATGTCTGTAACATCAGCACATGTCCCTTTAATTTCAGTGCGCAATTTTTCACCAAACAAACAGACATAGTTATTACATACCTTATGATAGATAGAAACGTTAGAAATGGAAACAATTGACAGTTGTCAATCATACAAATAGAGCCATACAAAAATTCTAAAAATAAGTTTTCATTCTTACTTTATCTATACTCAGCCCACGGCCTCTGTCATGATCGTCACGGCGCCTGTTTAGCATCATTGACTGTTCCAACATCACCCCACAGTACAAGGGCTGGACAAACAGCCTTTCGGTCTGTACAAGTCTCTCTACACGTGGCATCCAAATATGGAAAGTGACCCACATAAAGGACAGCCACCATAGAAACGAAACCGGAAGAAAGTAGCCAGAATACAGCGTTTCGAGGAAACCTCGCGAAATCCCGTTAATGTCACATGTCCAGTATAAATATGGCGGCAAAAATGGGTTTGTTGATTGATCAACGTTCCAAGCTTCGCAATTGGCAATAAATAGACCAGCTATTACTGGAGCAGCAATCATTAATGGAAGCGAAAAGCTGACGACCTGGAGCATGACTTTGCATGCAATTTTCGAAAACTGGTAGCACATTAAACACGAAACAATTTGAATAAGTGCGATCCAATATGGCTCTGTGTGAAAGGCGTCTGAATCCACGTTATTTCCAGATGGGTTTACAAGATGAGGGCAATCCTGTGCGAAATCGATATCAAAGTACAACACACTTAGACACGATTTATTTCCTGCTGTCATCATTACGGTCATCAAAGCAAGTGTCAAAATTATTTTCCATATGCTAGCAAAAATGTATATCTTAGTGCGCATGCGTCGAACTTTATGTTTGAATTCCCTTAGTCTCATTCCAAGAGTTCCCATCTTCGTGAAACGATTTATATAATTTTCCCACCATCCTACCGATATCAGCAATAAAGAAGCTGGAATTGTCCATGTAAGATCCGAATTGTCATGGTCGATTAAATTCTTGATAGGCCAAAGAACGAGAATCGATATTTGAACTACGAGCGCCATGACGTCAGCAGCGACGACATAGAATTTACGACCTTCTTCTCTCTGCGTATCAAACATTTTAAGCAATGCTGGAATCACGCCCACGCCAAATGTAAGAACTAGTCCACGCAGTGGATCTATTGCCGGCAGCACGTAGAACGCGAACATGCTCATCCCGGCTGTGTGAAGTGTTTCTATGGCAAGAACCTGGAATTATAGTTTAAAGAATCCCGTCCGTTATTCATAAAAAGTTAAATAAATAAATAAATAAACTACGTATGTCACTTCAAAATATATTCAAATTTTACATGTATATAGCTTATATACACAGATAGATTTCCTTTAATGTACAAAGACTATATAATTCCACTTAAAAATTATTTTCTTATAGGGACAAACTATTAACGCAATTTTGATGTTTTTTTATGTTTTTCTTTGTTGTGTTTCTTTGACAACAATAGGCGATATGTTTGAGTTTTGTTATAGGTGTATTGCACACTAATTGAATAATGTGTTTCTAGCTATTATTAAGGGAAAACATTCATCCATTTGCAACGCCGAAACTATGGATATAATTAACTATATACTGTTTGAAAAGCAACAATCTTACCAGAAACATAACTCTTGGCGTTGGATTTCGAGTTTTCTTGAAACACATTCTCCAGAAGCATTTTCCAAACGTAAATAGATGCGGAGAACACACTACTAAAAATAGCGCCCACAGCCATCTCGCTTGAACGCTTGGAGACGGGTGAAAAGCCTCTGTCTTAACACGATCAGCAGGTACCCGCCTGCATGACGTCACACCCGTTTCCGACATAAACGTACAGTCTAAAGTCACATTTGAATACACATTTGAAGTGATAAGAAATAGTGTACTTTTGCTGAGCATTGTGAAAGCAAGAATTGAGAGTGTTAAGAACATGCTCACTACAATTTTGATTGATTTAAGGCAAACATTATAACGTTCATCATTTATTCCGCGATGCTTGGTTCTGTTTACAACTCTAAACACATCCCAGGACTTCAAGGTGGCTGTCTTATCCGAGTCTGAAGGGATGTTGCTATCGAAAAGAAAATATAAAGAAGAATAAGAAAAATCTCAAACCTAATATTAATTTCTTTCAGCATTTTAAAACATGAAAAAACAATGTTCTTGTAAGATAAATGATATTTGTTTCCATAGTTTATTTTCTAATTTATTAATTTGTTTTTGATTTTTATTTGAGGTTTGAATGAGGTTTTTATTTTTCGACGTATTTCAAAATCTACACATTAGATGACACCATACATTACAAACTTTAAAAACAAACGAACCTCTTATCGCCACGGTCCTGCTTTCGTGGCATTCTGGGTATACTGTCAGTGATGTCATAGCTACTTCTTTTCTTGCTATTTATAGTATCATCTTTATTATTGTCGCTACTGGTTTCACTCCACGTGTTACCGTTTACCTGTAGTCTGTCTATTGTGTCAAAGGCGGGATTTGTAACACCTTCTTCCATCTAGAATTACATTCAATAATATCGATATTAATTATATACTTTTTAATGAAATATTGAGAAATATTGATGAAATAAAATGAGTATTTTCATTTTCTGTATTTTCACTGTAAAAATTTATTTTTCTGCAGTAAAACATATTTTCGGTGTTTTCACTGGTGTCCAGCCGGACTACTTTCTTCTAGATTCAGCCAATACACAAAAGTTAAAGGGACGTCTTTCAAATTGTAATGTCAAAAATAGATAAATGTATGTAATTATAGAAAATTCAAGATTTTTTTCTATAAATACATAATTTATTTTCGTCTGTGCGAATTATCAAATCAAGTCCAATACTCTTCAAGAAATTCTAACAAGGTTGATTTGAGTTTTGTTTAGTACAAAGTATAAACCTATGAAGAATTTATTCATTGGTTATGAAGAATTTTGACAAGTTTTATGCGCATAGTAGCCGTGCATAGTAGATAAAAGAATCTGGAAACAAAGTGATCCCTCGGAACATTAATCACAACAAAATTACAAGAGAACTTACAAGAAATTACAAGAGTCACAATTATTCAACAATAATCGAAGTTTTAACTTATTACGCAATATCTTTCGCATCTTCTCGGCTCTTTCCGACAAACTTCGGATAAGATCGACGAAATATATACTTACAGCGATATTGTCCCTATAGCCGTCCTTCAATATAGGGTCGGTCTCACCCACGCTTATAACCGGAAGTGGAATCATACGTTTTACTGTAGGTGGCGAAAGGTTTGTGTCCGGTAACTTGTCCTGGAAAATAAATAAATAATGATTTTGACTTTTATGCTGTAAAATATTAAATATTGTTATATGCCATGTTGTTTTACAATTGTATAACCTGATGAAAAATAATAAAGATTTATCTATTTATCTACTTCAGAAGAAGGATATTCATTTCATTGGTTTAACGTGTCTTTTTTTATATTTTTTATTCTGTTTCCTTTTCCCCCGCTATTACATTTTATATTGTATTTGTATTAATGTAAACTAATATTTTCCCCCGAAAAATGCATCTTTTATCTTTATTATTCTTAGTAATTGACAGATTCCGCAATGATGGTAATGTATCTGATTGTGTCAGTTTCTATAGCGTTTATTTCTTTATTTCTTTTCTTTTTATTCCCTGTTATCGCTACTGCCACTCGTGAAATATTTATTTTCATACCACTCGATTTAAATAGATATTGTATTTATAGAAATAAAACTTGCATTTTATGTTTATTGTATACATTTTTTTCTTCTTTTTTTTGACATTACAATTTGAAAGACTTCCCTTAAATTGTGGGTATTCACTGAATTTAGAAGCAAAACGTCAGTTAAAATACGGAAGATGTGTTTCACTGCAGTGAAAAATATTTTTTATTTACAAATTTTACAGTGAAAATACGGAAATGAAAATACGCATTTTACTTCATCAATATTTCCTAATATTTCATTTTCAAGTATAGACCTAATTGATTTGATTTAGTGGCATAACAGAGAGCAGGAATACTTTTGATATTTTGCTAACAGCCGTCTATACCAGACTTTACATCCAGTATAATATCTTTGTATATTGTAATATTGCAATATGTACATATATAACGTAACATAAAATATAACTTAAATAATAACTTGCGTTATGATATGTATATCATATAAAATTAATTGAAATTGATCTATATCATTTTAAAGCAATCTTAATATAGATAAACATTGACTAGGTTTTGGTTTTGGGTGTCTTGGGGAGGCGGGGCGCCGGGGCAGTAAGGGGCACCGTGAATTTGAAAGAATCTTCTTCCGTAATGAAAATTGGCTCTTGTCACATGCAAAGTCTATATTTGCAGTAAAAAAATGTTAATATGTCACAAAAGAGATAAATATAGCCGGTTATTTTATGTCTAGACATCTTAATGAATCTCACTTATGACTTCTTGTTCATTTTTACATATGAAACTTTCCCTTCTTGACGGCAAAAATTGGAAAAAGAAACTTCCCTTGTTTGAACAACGAGTATCAGCGCGGTCACATTCCACAGTATCTAAATTAATTAATTTGTGCTAATCCAAAAATAATGCTAGCGAGCCTGATAAAGATGCGAGTTTAAAGGGGTCGTCACGATAGGTTACCAGATAAAACGACAAGGTACATTTATTTCCCAACACGCCTATACTTAAAACAATGCAATTAAGATACCAGCCATTTTGAAATTGGCCTCTTATATGAAAAATAACATGGCGGATGTTTTAAAAATCCATTTACATCTATGATATTCTTTTTTGTGCATGTACATAATTATTTTGTAAATCAAAACTTGACTTTGTTAATATTATTGTAACTACCTTTATTGTGTTGTATTGAATAAAATATGCATACCACACACTGGGTTTATCTTGTTAGGTGTAACCAACAAAACAATCGCACCTAACTTCGTGTGAGCCAACATTATCCCTGATTTACCAATCACTGTTTCACATAGTAAGTATAATAATATAATATACGAATGTTATAATATGTTGATAATGAATCATTTTATGTTATCAATATCCGTCATTGTATTGTATTATATTGTATTGTATTGTATCGTATTGTATCGTATCGTATCGTATCGAATCGTATCGTATCGTATCGTATTGTATCGTATTGTTCTGTACTGTAATGTACTTGAGACGTTGTGATTATATTTTGTGTCAGATCAAGGATGTATTATCCTTAACCATACTGTTTTTTATATGTGGATTTGGAAATAGAATAACCTACTTCTTTTTTTTATATTATATTAAAATAAATCTAATCAGACCACACGTTGAATGAATTTATATCTACATTATTTTATTTAAACCTATTGAATAAGTAACTGCCAATCCATTTGAGTCACTCTCCCCACCCACCCCGCAACTCTCACAACCCACCCTAAATCTTAGTCACAGTCCCCAGTAACCAACCCCTTTTTTAGTCTCTCTCCCTTCCTGCCTAATTTTTAAGTTAATACATCACAATAGTTGCCAATAATGCTATCCGATTCAATCAAGAACAATATTTCGTTTTCAACGTACACGTCGCAAATAAGAAATAACAGTTCTTTGTTTGTTTTGGTTATATGGCGCCGAAACAGGATAGATGATTTTGGCTAACCTCGGGTGTTACATACTTAAAGCAACACCATGGGTCAAAACTACCTCACCTGCTGAAGAGACTCCAATAATTCGAAACCTAGTTAAACAGCTGCTGCAATTCTGATGCCTCAACCCTTAAAGGCAAACCCTCAAGCCAAATGTGTAAAGAAAAAATAGTGGATAAACATTAAATAAAATAAAAGATATCAACTTACGAAACTGTAAAAATCTTCCATTTCCATTTCAAAAGCCATTATATAATTATTACTTTTATTTAAAATACACAAAATGTCTTCGCTTTATAACATCATATGCCGGTAGTACATATATTTGCTTTTATGTCTTAAGTCCAAAATGTTTAATCAAATGTAATTATTTATGATAAGCTGAAACACTTGACTTAATCTGTCATTAATTTTTAATTCCGAAAACCTTTTATACAAATCGACTTCTTTTTCCTGTAACGCCCCCGTTTTTTTCATTAACTAGTTACCCTTTATCAGTATGTATAATGACGTCATCAATCTATCAAGGCGTAAAATAATTCAACAACCAAACCCCCACCCCCCCCCCCGTCCCCCCACCTCCCCCCCGTTCCCCCCCGCCCGGTATCCCCCACCCTACCGCATGTACCCCGCACCCCCCCCTCCCCCCACCACCGCCCACCTCCCCCCCCCCCCAGCCCCCCCCACCCCCCCCCCCCCCCCACACACCCCCCGTATACCCGGAGTCCCGCCCCCCGTTCAACCCCCCCCCCCCCCGTTACCAGCCCACCCACCCACCCCCCCCCCCCAGTCCTTCACCCGCCCTCCGCCGCCCCCACCCACCCCGCAACACCACCCCCGGTCCGCTCCCCCCACCCCCGTATCCCCTCCGCCCCCCCTACCCCATCCACCGTCGCCCACCCCCCCCTCAACCACCCCCGCTACCACCCCCCCCCCCCCACCCCCCCCACCCAACCCCCCCCCCCCCGCTCCCGCCCACCACCCACGATTCCCCACCTCCCACCCACCCACGTCCACGTATAGTTATGCAATTTGTTTTAGGGTATGTCCTGTGTAAATAAAGTGATTCTGCATTACTATTTATATTCACTTTTGTTTAAAGTACATAACATTTTTATTTTCTGTTGAAATATTTTGTCATATTTTTTTAAAAATAAAAAATGATCACACGGGGATCACAAGCTCAGTTTACATGAACTTATATGTATAGTTGAGACCTACCGTTACAGCTAGAAATATTTATATAAAAATGTTTTAAAATGAGAACACTTCTGCAGGTGTTTTTTTTTAAAGTTTCACAACTTCCATATTTAATGTTAAATTCAGCTTAACCGGTGCTTGGGGCTTGAACGGCACGTTGAAGGCGTTCGTGAGATAGATATTTATTTATTTATTCCAGTCTCATCTATATACAATATAATATAAAATACATGTATATAGCCATTCTATAAGAATTATAAGAGACTAAACATCTAAAACACTATATCATACATGGTAAAACCAATATTAAGATTATACATTACCAGTGTTAGACAGCTTAAAATATTAAAATCATGTTTGTACAAATGATAGCCAAATGGTAACATAGTATTTTGAGTGACACTAAAATAACATGCTAGCTAACATTAAAACGTCAAACACTGGAATATTTCATCTGTACAATTTTAAAAATTGTATGTCATGTAATATAATTGTTGCAATTACTAATATTTTTTACTATCATAATGGTAAAACCAATATTAAAGATTAAACATTACCAGTGTTAGACAGCCTAAAATATTAAAATCATGTTTTGTATAAATGATAGCCAAATGGTGACATAGTACTTTTGAGTGACTCCAAATAACATGCTAGCCAACATTAAAACGTAAAACACTGAAATATTTCATCTGTACATTTTTAAAATTGTTGTCATATAATAAAATTGTTGCAATTACTAAATATTATTACAGTTTAAAATTTTACTATATAAAATATTATTTCTAATTTTTAATATATCACAGCAGGATTTTTGCGAGGATTCTAACCATGTCTGGGTGAGAGAACATGAATACAAATTTATCATTATCGGACATATCATAAAAACTATTGTCTACAGATTGAGCTTTTTCATAAATGACATCACGTATTTGATTATATAGCGGGCCACTGTAATAAAACATGCATTTCAATAAACTCTTCACAAAATGGACATACTCTTTCAGCTACTGGCATGTTAGTATAACGCCCAGTTTCAATTCTTAGCGGCGCAACACCACACCTGAATTTGGATAGCGCAGACCTATGACAATATGGTAATTGCAGTTTACAATATAGCTCAGTATCATAGCTACTCTTAAACAATCTGTATGTCCTTAGCTTATTGTGGTTAGTGCCATTTACGCCTGTATATCTATTCAAATCAGTTTGCCATTGAACAATATGACTATTCATCAATGCAGTGCATACATCATTCAACATCTTATTTTTATCAAAAGGAAGCATAGTATACATATCTAAATCTATTGAACACAATTTATCTCTTACAATGAATGGCCAATTTTTACATCTATTATTACCTTTATTAACTGACCAATTAAAAATTTTCTTATTAATCCTACAATCATTATATAATAAACATCTATGCCAATGGTTACATACAGATTTCCACTGGTCAATAATAATTGGTTTCCAACCCATGTCACCTTGGACTGCAACAATAGGTGTGTATTTACCAGTACCAAGAAAGAACCTCATTGCTCTGTGATGAACGGCATTGACACAAGAAAAAGATTTAGTACCCCATACTGCTGAAGCATACGTGATGACTGGTACCACACAAGAATAGTACAACTTTGTATAAACATCATAAGGTAGTCCACCAAACGATTTGTACTTAGCAATGAGGAGCCCAAGGGCACGTCCAGCACATTGAGCAACTATTTTAGATGTTATGTTATAATCTAGGTGCTCGGTTAAAGCTAAACCAAGGTACATATATCTAGAAGCATATTCAATTTTACAGTTTCCACAGTTAAAAACAAAACATGACTTAGGAATTGAATTTGGTCTAAAGTGTACAACTTTACTTTTACTAACATTGATAGATGTGTCTTTTTGTGATTTTTTCGGACATATGAGAAATAAAAGAATGTTTGTATTTTTTAAAATTAATATAACGCTTTACCTATCAAACGTACGTAATGACAGAATTGGATAGTTTTTATCATCATCGGGAAACGTTGTAGTCTCAGTTATTTTAACAATTATTTACATGTACGGATCTCTTAAGAATCTTTTCTTAATCATCAAAAGGAATTTATAGATTCTATACTTTAACAGCAATAGATACAGTTACAAACGTATTTACATTATATAAAGATATAAAAATAATTTGCATCTGAATTGTTGATTCTTTGAATTTGTTTAATAAAATCAACGCATCATAGTCACGGAAGATAAAAAACACGCTGAAGATTACAAATGGAATCTTACTCGACCCGAATGTACCTTGACATGCGACTTAAAGTGTCGGTAATATTACCAACATCCTGCTCTTTTCCCACCCTTTACAGTCCTAATACCTCTCTAACTATAATATATGCATGTGACGTTAATTTGTTACTTATATACGGAAATGATTGTAATGCTTATTTTAAATCATTTGGGTTTTTTTTGTTAACAATGTCTGATATAGACAATCCAAACATATCTAACATAGATTTGAAACAACAAAAAAAAATCAAAGTTCTGTTTTAAAACTAAATTATTTAGGGTCATTTAGTTAATGTCAAGGAATACACGCCGTTTAAATTTTTTCCTTCGCCGACAGTTGTAACATATAACTTTATTTCAAACGCTCACCCATTTCTGCTTTGTTAACATGCATCCTTGTAGCCAAAGGAATTTAGTATTTAAATAAATGAATAAATAAACTTTGAATAAACTTTCCTATCTTATTAAAACAGACCCATATGTGTTTTTCCTCGTTTGACACAAGGACTTTGGAACTTTTATGTTTTGCATTTTGCAAAGTTATCTAAAGTAAAAAAAAATCTTTGTCCAAGAACAGATTCACTTTTATATTAAAAAAGAGAAAATTGAGATCTGCTGACATGCTTTTTAACCGATAGTTCTATGTTTTCCATTTGTATGTATGGGCTTGAATCCGGCTACTTACGACGGGGTTAAATTCTTCTTTACTGTATGGAGACAAAAAAAAAACAACACAAAAATCAAAAAACTTATTTATCAAAGTTAGGCAAAAGAGTACGAAACATACGAACACGTACGGCAGAGAACCTGACCCATTTGGTTCATTTAAAAATAAAATAGCCATTCGACAATTTTGAAAGTTGACATCTTTTTACTTTCTTGTTAAATTGTTGCATATATACGAAAACCACTGTCCCCATCTGTTTGTTTCTTATATTACTGTCATATAGATATAATCATTCTGTTTTATATTTTAACAAACGTATAGCGCATAGCATAGAGACATAATAACGCAGCAATTTTAAAACATGAAATATACCCTAACTTGTATAATCGCATAATTCTAAATCTATCTCTTTTTGTATAAGATCAAAGATTTTCACATTTACAGTTTATTGTAAATGACTGAAACGGATAACGCTCACATATTTCAAGGTACGAAATATTGTATAGTTAATTATTTTGGTAATTCCACTTCTAAGGCATCGGCATTTCAACAGACATTACGGCTTTGTCTTTGTGCATCGGGCTCCTGATATAAATGTATTGTCTCCCTTGATAGTTATTTCATCTGGCTATTTAACATCGCGTATAATAGCGCCGGGGATAGTGCTCGTTCAAATTCCAATGACGTAAAGAATTGGAATCACTTGATTTAGAAAATCAGAAACGTCAAAAATAGAATTGGAAGCAAAATTTTGATTATAAGGCACACTTGCTTCAATTATTTTATTTTCGTATGGTCATATTTTCAATAGCGATGTCGAAACGCAATTTTATTTTAACCCATACCCCTTCGTTTCTAATGAAATTATTTTTATTTTGTTTATTCTGGCGTCTATCAAAATATATTTTGATTAAAATTTGCATGTTCACCTGTGTAAAACACGGATATAAAACATGAACAAGCGTATTCAAAAGGGAAGCAACGCCTTAATTTGTTTAAGTATCTTTGTCACGGACACGTTTTCTGCATGACATGCATTTATAAACAGATAAATGTACGTGTCATTTTCCAATAACTACTTAAAGTAACATTATGCCTATCTTAGGGAATGGAGTGAGTGAACAGGTGAAGGTCAAAACAAGTTTACAATTTGCCATAATTCCTTTCAACTCTATAATTTACTTCACAAAAATATTAATAACTCATGTGACCCAAGAAGATTTGGGCAGTCTTTTTTATATTTTAGGCAGATTTATATTTTATCCTAAACATTTCCCAATATTAACAGTTGATCAGTCCCCTTCATAACAGCATGAAGTCAATTCAGCTCTTGAAAGTTGACAGTAAAAAAATGAGCATTATGTCATTTTAAATGGGTATACAACTACGATTATGAACATTTTTATACCAAGATGAATTAGCAATTGATAATGAACATTTTCATATCACAACACTTGCACATGATTTTAAGTTTCTGGCAAGTTTAAAGAAGGAAGGGATATATCAATGAAATGCGATATTACGAAAATCATATAGATATACAATAATGTATTACAATTAATTTATATACTAAAGAAGAGAAAGCGCACGTTTTAACACTGGACGTTATCATTTTTACAGTTTTTATCATTTTTTGCTTCGTTTGTTTTAATATAATTTTTAAAATTACAATGTAAATAAAAGCAAAAAAACAATACATTTTATACCTGATGTATTGACATTTTTTCTTCAAATATAAGCGAAACTTTTGTTTTAATAAAACGATGTTTTTTTGCTTTTCAATGGATGCTAAAATTGCAATGAAATATCCATTATGCCTATATTTTTGCCATGCAAGCTAACGATCCCAAATACACTCTAAACAGTTATATAAATGATTTGAATGTATTATTTATTGATGAAAAATCTTTGCATGATCGTATATTTGTCGAATCGTATATATTCGGTTTCTTTTATATCGACATTCATTTGTTATTGATACATATAAACACAAACTAATTACATATAACGGACGCAATGCCGTGAATATAAATATAATATATAAAGTATATAATATATAAAGTATATAATAAAGAAACAACATGCAATTGTGAGTATACAACGTTTGCGGCTAATGATGTTTTGCAAACGAACTAATAAAATCTTTGTAAGAATATATTCGTTTTATTCTGTCTTTTTCACCCTTCCTTAACTTGTTGAAGATTGCAAGAAACTTTTGCATTTTCCAATACAATCTGTTATTATTTTAAATATCGGTACACAATTTCAAATTATGAAACGTATCGGTCAACTTTTGTTCGCATTAATCATATCTGAATATTGATCTTGTATAATAATTTAAAATCTATGCAAATTACCCATTAAAAACTTTAATTTACAAAATTAATTATAATTTGTTTCTTATAATTATTTAGAAAATGCATTGATATTTAGTTATAGATTTTTAAAAATAAGATAATTCTATTAAACAACTCTTAAAAGATCAATCTAAATTAGAATTAAATTGTGCAATGTTCTTGCACTTTCTTTATAACTTGATCGATTTATTACGTTTTGTTTTCTTAATTATAATGAATGATTATTTTAAAATGATTTATTATGTTATAATAATATAATTTCTCACGTGAATAAGTCCGTCGTATATTTTCCGGAGTCTATCAGGCGTAGGAACCAGCAATGCTACATCCATAATTGCAAAACTGTAGCCAGGAGCATATAAAAATATCACCGATAAAAAAATAACAGTCACTTTTGATAATAGAATTCATTATAGTTATAATTACCGTTGACCTTATTAGCTTAAATCTATGAATTTCAATTAGTCAAAGGCTCATGACATCAAAGAAGATCTAGTTAAGGGAAAGTCGAGCGGAGTTTTGCATCGTTGTGCGCATTCGACAGGATGAAATAATTACGTTTCTGTAACGACTAATGGCCTCTTGTTTACATTTCATCAAAACTTGGATGGAAACTCGGATGGGGCGGCCAAAGGATGTAGAACTTGTAGGTGGGTTTAGGTATGTACCGCGCTTTTTTTAAAGATAGCGACCATAAGTAATCAAATGAAGTATATGACCCATGTGCTAGAGAATTTATGCCTTATACAAACATTTAAACCATGATTTAATAATAATATATATAAAACATTTTGAGGTGACGAAAGGGAGAATAAAGATCAAAGAAAACTTTGTGATGGGAATGTCTTAAGCTGTCAAGCTATACTGTCATAGTGTATATATATAATTATATATAGTCAATTTGTTTGAGGGGTTGAGAAATAAGCATCAGTGACTAATAACATTAATATCTTTATTATCAATTATGATGACACAATAAAATTGTGTATGGTTATGAATTGCACAATCGGAAGGTCTTTTTCATTTCTTTTTCATTTGCAGTCTTTAAGACAAAAAATGAGACATGCAGCATGCTTGATATCAGCATCTAGAAACAGTGTATAATTTTTGTTATTATTATTATTATGGCGAGTATAATTTCTTTATTATGCTACTGTCTTTTACGGGCGTCCATTGCCGAGGCCGTTGACTTTAAGCCAATTGCCCATTTCCCCTGAGGGTTTATATTCTGCCAGTGATTTTGAATTTTTACATGTAAGGACAACTTATCCAGCTTTTTTATGAAATTAGTATAAGTATCTGATTTTACTTGGGTGAACGATGCCAGGAATATTGCACGGATGGGCAACTGAGGTCTTTACCCACTAGAAAGTTGAAAATCGCCACATGACCATAGTAGTGTCTAACAAGCTTTTGTACCATATACGTGGGGAAAAAAGACGATATTGCAATATAACCATTTTTAATAAAGCTTAAATGAACTTTTAAGGAAGTAAAGGTTACATTTATTATCATTTAATTTTTTACACTCTTTTTTTTAACAAAACGTGTGAATACTTTATTAGTCAATCAATCATATGAGATAAAACAAAATGAAATTTCAGATTTTTTTTGTGAGTGGAATTTTGTTGGTTTTAAAAAGGAGTATTTGTGGTTTAAATGTTTCGCATTCTAAAGCACATTGATAAGAAACGGTTTGAACAAACGCCCAAGTGAAGTTTTCATATCATTATTACGTCAGATGACAAACTTAATCAGTATTTGTTTATACATTTTGATACGTAAATTTGTGAAAGGGAAACATAACAAGCATGTTTGCTACTGTGACGTAGAAGGGTCATAACAAAATTTTCAACGAAAGAGATGGTCTGTTGTAGCGGTCATGCGCAATGGGCTGGAAAAGGTGTGGGTATATAACATATTCAAAAATAATGAAAGAGATTATGTCCAGTTTATATATAAGGAAACATTTCATTAAAACATATTTTTATAGAAGGCCTAATGTAATGAAGTTTATAGAGCTTTTAAAACGTGATAATTGTGTTACTGCTGTAAATCTGGGAAAATTCATATGCATTTGTAAAAGAAAGACTACTGTAAATCTGTATTTATCTTTTGTGATAGAAACGTAAAAATTGTTTGAACCTTATTGGATCACTTGACAAATATATGTTTGTGTATATATGTAAAATGTATGACAAAAACTGTACTGTTTACGTCAATAAAATTTTATGTCTGTCTGTCTGTCTGTCTGTAACATCTAAATGATTTAAAGAAATCACGGGATGCCTTTAATCAGTTGCATGCTTGTGTTTTTTTTTGTCAAGAAATAAGTCTAAGCAAAGAACTTAAATTATTAACGATTAATGCTTTGTAAAGTTCCAATCATCGATAAACCTTTCAGAAAAAAACAATTGGATTTTCTTTAATTTTTAAACTCTTTCAAAATATGACAATAGGAATATGAAAACAACGTGACTGTACATTTTGAAAAATGTTCACAGTGTAATATTAAATTTTGCCATATTTAGTGTACTGTCTTTGGATTTTTTAAGTGCTGCATTTATTTTTATCACACGTATGAATACCAAAAAAAAGCGATGAGTTTTTGTGTTGGCACGTTTTTAAAGCATTAAGACAACAATTAAAATAGTTTCACACACTTTAGTTATAAACAGATCATTTGTTAAACAAATTAAAATAGTTGATGATACCAGTAGAAGCTTTAAAGGTCTTCAAAAGAAATAAAGGGTTAAGACTCTAGTGATATTTAGAAAAACAAAAATATTTCTTATGAAATGCCATGTTTGTACGGATATACTTTGTCAACTCTACCTGGTCACCTCTAGGTGATTAGTGCTACGCAAAACTGACCTTTGGCGACTCGTATTTAAGTAAAAATATATAGATAGGGACGTGTTTATTTCGCAATACTTGTCCACAATAAGCCTCCGGTTAAGGACGTAAATGAATTGACAAATTACTTAAGAATTGTTCAGTTATCATTAAATTCCGCTTACTCTTTTACACTGGTGATTTGTTTTGAAGCAGAGTAATTTGTTTGTTGTACGTATCATTTGAACAAACAAATGGACGCGCTGTTAAACGTATTAAAATGTGCGTACATGTGAACCAAAATGTGTCTTGTGACAGTCTTGATTGTTATGACATTAAATGACGCACCGTTTAGTTTTACCGGGAAGTCATATGCTTAACATCTATTTTTAGTAACACTACAAAAAATTAAAACACGAACTTAACGTAACAATATGGTAAATGACAAAAACAAAAAACTTGTACGCCCTTTTAAAGATGGTAGTTTTTTAAAATAAAATGGGCATGTTTCATGAGAAAATCCCTCCCTATCCTTTGGAACAGTCTTTGATTATATTCAATTTGTGACCTACAGATGCAAATGTATAATTAATTTTGTACCTTGCTTTGGTTATACAAATGACTCCATTGAGTTTTATTTTGACATAGAGGGAAATATTTCTTTACGATGTGTGCACTTATTGACGTAGTTGGATCATCAGCTTTTGTGAACAGATTCAAATCATTGCTCATTCCCTTTCTCCAGAATAATCACTTCATAGTGCAACATCACCGAAATTTAAAAAGCATTTTATATACGCAATAATCTCAAATTGGCCGTTGACACACGCACAAAGCTTATTTCATATTTTAAGACTTTCAAACCTCAGTGTTCAGACTAAAATGGATCTTTCTTTATGTGAATTGCTTTCTCCCTTTACGATACATGAATATTTTTTAATTGAAAATCTTTCATAATTACTAACAATATAATTCAAATGATTATGTTTATTTATATGCACGCAATTATTTGACGTGTAAAGTCCTTAACAAACTAATCATACTGATTAAGATCCGGGAATTTTAACAAGAGCGTTGGATGTGAAATAATTTCTGATGAAGGTAGCAAAATGTAAGCAAAGTAGTATTGCGAGACATAGGCAACATTTTCATTTCTTAGTTTTGAATTCATTTTATCTGTTAATGTCCTGAAAATAAATAACTAGGCAGTCACAGGAACGAAACTTTTCTTATTATAAAAAATAAAATGGTGGTTTCCTAATTTGACCCGCGTAGAACGTTAAGATTTCACAATAGTTGTCACAGTGAACTCTGGAAACGTTTAAAAACATGTCAAATGAATGACTTAGGCTTGTTTCAATCGTACATTATCCAAAATATATGTAATTGTAATTTCCAGGGTTTTAAAATTTCTCAGTGATTCTGTTGGCGTCTAAACGTTCAAAATATATAGATATATTTACGCTCCAAACCAAAAATATATAGAATTTATACAGAAATTCATGCTAGGACTTTAAAAAATTGTCATTTTAGCATGATTTGAGTACATAAGATCATTTTAATATTAATTTGCCTGAGTATCCTTTTACTTCCATACAAAATACTTAATCACAACAAATTTACTGATTAACTAATTTTCAAAATGCAGAAGAAGAAAAGCATTACTCGTTTATATAGTCCATGAGTTACTACTATTAGGACACACAAATTGAAAGCAGTGCTCATCTTTGTGGCATACTGTATTTTTAATTTATGATTTTTCATTCGTTTTGATGTTTTTTTTAATCAATTCATCCATTTTATCTTAATTAATTAATTAATTAATTAATTAATTAATCTTTACTTACATTTTTATTTATCTTTACTTTTCTATTTTAGTTATATTTAATTATTCATTTATTTATTTTTTTGGGCGCGGGGGGAGGGTGCAAAATCTTGTAAAATTTCTTACTATCCGGTTATCCATTTACTTATCAACAAACAACGTGTGCTATTGAAAGCATATCATCTGATCGTTTATGATATAAATTTAATCATTATATCAAAAACCGCAAATACTTTTCATTCTCGGTATTTAAACCGCAGATTTGACATTTGGCAAACATGTGATAAAACCTAATAAAAAAGGTAAAAAAAAGGAAATAAATTGATATAAAAGATCAAAATATGAAATGAAATAAAAAATGACAATAATAGAGAGAAACGCTGGATATCCGATAATTCTGGTAGAATCATTTAGAATAAGGGGATAAGATAATAAAACACGGTTCGATTTAAGTAATTACCAAGTTTAAAGAGTTGAATGTTATTTTAGTATCGAATTGTCAGTTTGTCGTAATAAAAAAATCATATTTAAAGCAGCACGCCTCCAGATTCATGCTTATTTCAATGAAATTTTTGAAAAAGGTATTTGAATGTGTAAAATTGTGAAGTAAAACCCCTGTCACACTAGGGCGGCGTTCTCACAACGTCAAAAGTAAATTCAGAACGCCGAGGTGATCGCAGTAAAGGCCCTGTCACACTAGACTGAGCTTTTACTGCGTTTGCACGGCGTTGTTAAATTCAACAAAGCGCCGCGCGATCGCAAGAAACATCTGATATTTTGATGACATGGAGACGGCACGGCGTCCGCACAGCGATCATGACGTTGCTCCGGAGCTTCAACGGC